AATTTCGAAGTTTTTCATAATTACCCATGGTGGAAAAATTCAGTTGAGATAACTTTTTCATGGGGTGATCAATTGCTATGATTGTAAGAATAAGTAACTGAAAAACTACCACTGAAAAATAATATGCCGACGCATATGTGCTGTTCCAATTGGTATTGGAAATACTATATCTAGTTGTTTCATCTCCTCTTCAATCATATTTACCAGTAAGTGATGGGAAATAAGGGAGTTGAAACAGTCTGTAATTTGCAAAATTTTGTTGATTCAAATGCTCTTTTTGATAATGAATCCCACCTTTATTAATTGGCATCAACTTTCATTTTCAGAGATAAAATCGTTAATGCCAGAAATCTATATTCAACTTCTCACTTTGTTTACCACTCTCGCCATGATGAACAAGAAAAAAGTACCCACGGCTATCAATTACCTGAGAGAAGTTTTATACAACGATCATCAAATTGTACAGATTTTAGCTTTCAAATTATTTTTTTCATTATGTCAAGAGTAAGTAGAAACTGTTATTTATGAAAACATTTTTAATAAATTATGAAACTTTTAGGATGACACATGAATATGATGAGGTTATAACATTTGTATTCAGAGAAATAGTTAGAGCTGATCCATGCTTGATTAGAATATGCGTTATTTCTATAGAAGAACTTATTCATGAAGATTTTGTGAAGCTCAGACAGGTAAATTATTAGCGGAGTATATTAGCGAAATATGTTGGGAAGCAGATCTGGGAATATGTTTCATAAGAGTTCAAAACTTTATATATTGCTTAGACGGTATCTTGGTTCTCTTAGCAGATTTTTATTTCTGGTATTGTAGTCATGGAACTCCGCAATTTTATTATTCAGTCTCTCAATTGTGAAGAGCGGGCACTCTACCAGAACATGCTTAACAGTCACAAGCACTTCACACGCGAAACATATTGGTGGGCGAGTGGGGCCCAGTCGTAATCTGGTAATTATGACTTGATGGAACCGGTTTGTTGATTTGTTGTTCCAAGGATATAATGTAGATTTGATTATCCAAGTTTGGAGGGTTTTTGAGACCAGTGGTGATTCCACATTTCTACAATTTTGCATGGAAAAAAGATTTGAGATCTGTTGGCAAGGCTTTCATACTGACAGTACATGTTGGATTTTCTAGAGCTTCTCTGGCAAGTTCATCAGCTATATCGTTTCCAGAAATCCCNATAAACAAAAGTTGGTTATCAAAGGTATAAGCAAATATTCACCGACCAATAGAAGAAGGAATTAGAAAAATATGTACTCATGGTTTCGAGTATTTATTTTGGTGTGTTTTCAAAGGGTATTCCAAAAACAACGTTACATTTGCCATACCATAATCGTGATTTCGAATATTCATTGAATTTTAGATTGAATGAATATGATTTCGCTACGTTTGGCATTTTAGTTTACAAGCATTGCGGCTTGATGGATTTATATGTTTGTTATTTAAGTTACCATTGGAGCAATTATGTTTTTCCTACGAGGAAGACATTTTTTTCTCTTCTTTGATATAATTATTTGCGTACTTATATAATTCCACTTTCAATGAAAATATTCATTTGAATGTTTTTTTACCCCTCAATTACCTATGTGACAACCATCCCCGGCCCGGGGTTGAAACTCACACTTTTCGTTTCCATTTACAACTGTTATATTTCTTCTATGGATGATGTTGGAGAAAGAAGAATATTTCTTTTCAAAAGAGTGTCATAAATCTCGTCATCTCAGGGTTTTTTGGGGTTGTAGGAGCAGATGGAACAAATGTGGATCCGGTCGACTTGGCCAATTTATTCGAGTGGTTTATCTATCAGATATGATACCAACGAGAGTACGAGAGCTTGACAGAACTAAAACTATAAATTGTTAATATCCAGAAATACATTTTGGAAATGAAGTTACATTTCCCTGTACCAACTAATCCAAACCTACCTATATAAATGCAGGCACACCATAGGAAATATCAGTTATCTTGTATTTCTGGATTACTCCCAAAGACATTCAAAATAATTTTAGCTGTTACGAGATGTTATAATTGGAAAAGTGGCGATGGCAACGACTTGTTTCCACTGCAAACCTGAGTTTTATTTCGCATAAAATAAATGGTATTACAAAAAAGGGTAGATAGTGTTTTTATAGTCCTTTCAGTGGAATGACCCGGATCCACGTCAAACGTATTTTCTTTGCCAATTCTGGCCTTTTGGGTATGCAACCAAGAATACCAAACGGACTGAATGAAAATTGTCCATTGATTAATAGTGGTAGCACAAAATAAAATATTGAACGGAAAACAACAATGGCACAATGGCAACAATTATACCACAACAAATAATTCCCGTAAATACAAACGACGCGCAAAGAAAGGAGAATGGTTTCGTTACAACCTCTACACGTGTTTCGATCACCAAGAGATCATCTTCAAGAGGAAGATTATAAGGTTTAATCTTACTTCCAGTTTGTGTCTGAAAGTTACTTCTTTGATTGATTACACATCTTTGTAAGGAGTTTATTTTTAAAATTATTGCTTTCTTTCAAAGATTTCCACATTTTCTGCATGAAGATGGAGAAGCAGAATGTCAATACCTCTTTTTCCCATTAGTTACAAATGTTGATATATTCCAATCTTGTTCTTCATTCGTCACCAATAATGAAAACTCTTATTTCTTAGATTGCAACCCGAGCAAATATGGGCCCATTAAGCATCGCTCTCAATAAAATATTAATAAACAAGACGTTGACAGAACAGGATATTCCACAACTCGACGTTTTGCAGAGCCTTATAATGGAAGCGTTATTTGAACAAACTTTTCAAGTACCTTGTATAAAACCAGCTTTCAGTTTATTGCAAGAGATTAGAAAACTTTTGAGGATTGATCTTGAAGACCAAATATTGAATCAACTTCTAGTAGTTACGTCGGAGAGGGCATTCAGAAGATTACATCGAAGGGAGATTGGAGATAATAGTGTTTTCATGTATCTGAATGAATTGTGTCTACTGATGAAGAAACCTCCTACTGAATATGTTGTCCGAATGCTTGAGTCGTATATGGAGGATAGCACTAAAATTGAAGGTAATGAAATTCTTATAATTCAATTGGTAATATTCTTTGAAAGAGATTGTTGTGGAGGAGTCAATGTTTCTTGCTGTTTTTCAAGTATTCAATCTTCCGCAATTGA